CATAATAGTTTGTCCTTGTCCACATATATTGACCTTCTTTGGTAAGGAATGGGAAGAGAGAAAATAATAATGGAAAACTGATTGGGTGAATATTGTAGTTGTTAAATTTTGGGGGGTTAAACTAAATATAATCCTCACATTTCTTCTCTCTGCATTGCCATACTAGGTGCCTTCCTTATTTTGATAACAAGCAATCCTTCCAGCACTAAAGCAGCAGCCAGCTACAATCAATAGAAACGTGATCATACATATAAACAACCCCATTCATTTGTAAGCTTTTGTACAGGGTTTTATGGAAAAAAATCGCAGAAATTAATGATTTGTTGGATCAGTGATCAATTTTATCTTTAAATGATAGCTATCAATTAACTCTGCAAATTGGTGGTGCAAGCTTATATGGAATGCAGTGAGAAATTAGATAGTGGTCCTTCTGTGTGGGACTCTGTAAATTTGTAAATTAGTATTCTCTTTTTTTTTTTTTTTTTTTTTTTAAGCTGAAGTCTGAGCAGTTGAAAGTGAAAATTGCTCTCTAAATACTCGCTTTTTAAGTCTACCACTAACGTGTACACCAAAGCACTTGTCTAAATATCTGCTTTTTGGGAATGGATTTACAATGTTTTTGAAAAAAATTAAGCAATACCAAACTCTGGAGTAGAGCCTCCATGAGAGGATGTTTGAAAATAGCTTAGATGGCATGTTCCACTGTATCTCAGAAGATTACTCAAATTTAAGCACTTTCTGCATAAAGTTTTCTATGTATAAACAGTTAAAATCTAAATTCAAAATCTACACATTTCTATATGACAAGAAATACCATCCCTCCAGGTTTACTTTCTCACTAATAAGCACTGTGATAAAATTTGTTTGTTAATAACTGGCATTTTAAGCACTTATTTGAGCCAGTTTCCAGATATATAACTGTGGTAGAAATCTGTTACACTCTTCCTTGATGATTTGCTGACTGTGATGACAAATTCTTTGCTGTGTCTCGTTCCATTAGGTTTGTCAGCTAGCAGGGTAGTTGCTACTTAAGTGTTTAACTTTTAAAATGATTAGTACTTAAAAAATCATGTTACTTAGAAATATGTTTGGACAAAACTTATTCTAGAAGAAAAAAGGAGTAACGTGTGTTGTTTTTTTTTTTTTTTTGTTTGTTTTTCTCAACCTCAGAGATTGTTCATGACTCTATAGGCTAGATAATGTGAAAAAAGGAGCTTACAGTCACTATGCAAAAGAGGGTCAATCTGTTCAGAGGATTAGCAAAAGTACATTTAATTACTTTGCGGCTAAAGCTGTGTGCTTGTTTATTCAGAATGAAAGTTAAATCTGTTATCTACTGCAGTACTGCAGTGTATAAGAGATACCCTAGTCCTTAACAGACTAGTTTAGGTATTTTAAATAGTTTAGGCATGAAAGCAATGCCTGCTTAACCCATCTTCTAACATAATGCAGACAGAAAATATTCTCTCCTTCCCCACACCTCCCCACCAAATGCTGATGTTATGTCCATCTTTCAAACAGAAGAATGGTTAAATGCAACAGGCTTCATATGCATGTTAGATTAAATCTATGTTTAAACGCTATCCTGATTTTAGTTCTTAATACAGTTGCAAGAGAGCAATGGAGTAGAAGACTACATTAACTGTATGTGCCAAATACTAACTGTAGGGTGTATTGGAGGAAAATATATCTCACTGGATCCAACAGCCCATGGGAGGCAAGTCTGCTGCCACATCCCCAGGTCCAACCAGTAGCAAAACTGAAGATACGTTCCTAGCAGGCATGTGCACAGAGCACAAGTATATACCACATACAGACACAGCTGGCAGATCACAGACATACGGAGCAACTCAAACACAGGCAGCACCAAAGGCCTCATCCTGCTCCCCTCTCTGTCTGGACAGCATGGAAGTCCACTAGTGTGTGTACATATATGTAATATGTACATATAACATGAATGTATATATGAGATATATACACAAACAATATATATACACACTATACAATGTATATATATAGTTGGATTGTATACATGTATATAATTATTTTTATATTTTTGGATTGTGTACCTATATGTTTATTTATGTGTATACATATTTATGCCTCTTTTTCCACTCTTGTTCTTTCTCCCCTAGACATCCCATAGTTAAGTCGAGTGCAATCCCAAACTGCTTTTCCCCTGCATTCTGTAACATCTCCTACATGTTACCTAGGCAACAACCCCCCATAGAGTAAAAGGTGATCTTGAGAGCAGCTGCTGATGACTCATGGCCATTGGTTCCATGCCTGGACAACAGGGCTGATGGGACAGACCCAGGAGCTGTGGCTGTTGCTCGAGTCATTGATTTGGGTTCCCATCTGCCACTGTACATCCCTGTGCTCCATTAAGCCTTAGGCAGTGGCCCCTGCGAGGAGCCTGGGATCAGCCTGGCAGGGTATTATTTGGGTTCCCCCTGCTGCCAGTTTCTTTCTGAGCTCCTTTGTAGGTATGCAGATGGGCTTTATCACAAAACCCAACAGGGTGAATGAGCCACACTCATTCAGACTTAGAGGTTTTGCTTGATAAATATCACTGTAAAGCTGAATTGCACAGAAAGTCTCATGCTTTACAAATAAGGGACTCTACATTTGTCCAGAATGAATATGAATAATAAACTACAATGCAAAATGGTAATTTTTCAGGTATGTGATTCGACTAGCGCAGAACCTGAGTGATGCTGGCTTAAGACCTGCTTGCACTAAAAAGGAACCCTAAAATATATAAGACATTAACAGTTTCAATCTAAAAAGTAAAAATAAAAATATAATAGTACTAATAAAAGAAAAAAAATCAACAACATTTTTCAATAAACACGTACTCCCATGTTTTAAATAAAGATCAAACAATTTTCTTGTTCAGTATTTGCTAATATTCTGTCAGAGTAATAATTTAAACAGTAGTAGCAAGCCTAATGTTTAATGGTCATTTTTCAGAAAGAAAGTGAGATTATCTCTTATTGAGATTTAGATGGGAAGTGGTTATGCCCTCTTTTTAAAATATCAGGAGGGTATTCCTGTTTAAAAATTAAAGCACATAAGGTGCAGTTCAGCAGTTAATTATGTATCTTACCTTTAGGGTGTGCCAGAATAATACTAGGTTTTACTGACAAATAATAGAGAATATTCCTGATAGAGTCACTGTCTTTTGTGTAGTTCTCTAGAACACAGATGTCTAAAAACCAATAGGCTGATAATTGTCCATAGTCTTTGCATTCTTCATTGAAAAAATATGGTAGTTGTGGCTGAATCTAACTGCAGAAGTCTTGAAAAGTACAGCTGGAAAAAGAAAAAAAATCCCTTGTTTCCCTTTTCCCAGCCTTACACGTCTCAGCTACAGTTACTCAAGTTGCTCAGTTATGAAAATGTCAGTGCTGGTTTCCTTGTTGAAGTCAGTGACATATTGCAATAAAAAATATTGTTCAGTGTTTGGTATGCTATAGAAATATTTTCAACTCTTAATGAAAATTAATACACATTCACAGAATCACAGAATTGTCTAGGTTGGAAGAGACCTCAAAATCATCAAATCCAACCTCTGACCTAACACTAACAAGTCCTCCACTAAACCATATCACTAAGTTCAACATCTAAACGTCTTTTAAAGACCTCCAGGGATGGTGACTCCACCGCTTCCCTGGGCAGCCCATTCCAATGCCTTACAACCCTCTCAGTAAAGAAGTTTTTCCTAATATCCAACCTAAAACACCTCTGGCGCAACTTTAGCCCTTTATAATACTGCAACAAATTACTAATAAAGGAATAGTTAAATGCACAGAAAAATCGGGAAGAGATGAATGTAAATCTAACTTTAAAGTGCTTTTGCATTTTTATCACCATTAAATCTGCAGATGCTGAAATAAAATGATTTCTCTGCAAGCATCTATTGTAAATATTTTTAACTAAAATATTTTAAGCAAAGGATTATTATTATTATTTTTTAATATAAATAAACTTCAGGAGTGGTCTTTTTTGCTGGGTCTAGACTCTAGACTCTATACCGTCTTTGTAGCCCTTCTTTGGATACTCTCCAATAGTTTTATGTCCTAATTAAATTTGGCACCCAAAACTGCACACAGTACTCGAGGTGAGACCTCACCAGCACAGAGCAGAGCAGGACAATCCCTTCCCTCGACCAGCTAGCAATGCCATGCTTGATATACAGGATACACTTGGCCCTCTTGGTTGCCAGAGCACACTGTTGACTCGTAATCAACCTTCTGTCAACCAAATCCCCCAATCCCTTCTTGCAGGGCTGACCCCCCAGTCTATACGTGGATCTAACGTTGCCCCATCCCAGATGCAGAATCCATCACTTTTAAACTTCATACAGTTGGTGATCGCCTAGCTCTCGAATTTGTCAAGATCTCTCTTGCAAGGCATAACTATATGAATATCAATCTTGTTGCTTTGTAGGCAACTCTGCTTATTTCTTATAGACCATAAATAAACTGGGGGAAAAAAAAAAAAAAAGAAACAACATTCAGAATCTTACCAGTCATTAAAACAGAGGAGGTGGCTTTCTAAATTATAATGCAGGTATCAAAACAGGAATATTAAAAACCCTCTGTGTATCTAGTAGGAGTCAGCCCTGCAGTCCTATGAATTTTGCTGTTTTTCAGAGAAAGATTTTATGACTACAATAGGTAGAAAACTGAGATAAAGCGATCTAGAACAAGACAACTTTTAACACAGCATGTCAGATATAAAATATTACATTCAGGCAGCACTCATTCTCTCTGCCCCTCCACATGCACACACAACACATAGAACAACATTACCTATATATAGATATGTTTATGTTATTAGACTATGTTTATAACCAAAAGTAGTTTTTAATATGCTTTTACTAATCATTGATTGTAGCACTCACATAACATATCGCGTACTAACACCCTGTTCTAAGAAATACAAGTGGAGATTACATGCAAATCGAGTCCTATTGTCAGTAACAGAACAGCTCGCACACCAGGAAATAAACATGTTCATAAAAATTTGCAGAGTCCAGGGCCTAGAGTTTCTTTCACAGAAGTTCAAAACATTCTTTGAAAAAAACAAACAAACAAACAAACAAAAAAACCACTCAGGTATTTTTAATAATTTCAAGGAAATTGGCAGAATAGAATTAAGTGCTTGGTTGACACTTAGACATCAAAAGTCATTCAGTAACTAATGTCAAATGTGATTTTACTTTTGAGATTGATTTACAGCCATAGAAACTGACAACATTTTTACTTTTCAGTTCTCGAGGTTCAGAATAACTATACTGATATGCTTATGACCTATTGGGCACATTCAATGTAAAAGAAGCTATTACCATGGAACTTATTGCAACATTCTTACCAAGACCTTTAAAAATACCTATTGTGTGTTTAAGGATTCTCAGTGTCACTGGAAGACATTGCAGTATTATTCATTTGTAAAGGCAACTCTATTTTACTTTCAGATTCAAGGCCTCTGCCAGATGTAGCCCTGACAGGGAAGTGTACCCGAGAATGTGATGAATATGGCCACTCGGACTCCTGCTGGATGCCAGTTCGCACTTCTCCTGAAAGGAAGCAGAAGAGCCAGCCAAAACTCTCCACTTTCATGCCTGTTGATGAACGGGGCAGTCAGGAAAAGCTGGCCAATGGAGAAGCTTCCCTCATGGGTGATCGCAACAGAAACCTCCTTAACAAAAAGTTGACCTCATCCTATGAGACCTTCAGTGCGGCTAGTTTCAGCAAAAAAGAAGAAGGCAATCCAGAGGATATTCCCCTCACACAGACAGGGGAATACAAGCCATCTCCTGTCAATACTCTAACTAGAAGAGAAGTTTACCTGTAGGCTAAAAAGCAGCAACAAATTTCTTTCATGTTATAGGAAAGAAAAGGGGTAAAAGTCCTAAAAGCAAAACAATTTTAACAAAAAATAAGAAACAAAAAGAGGAGGCCACCAAAGAGACAAAAGCTCTGCCTGCCACTTCTGCCTCCATAGCAGGCATTTAATTATACTGTCTGCCTGACTATACTGTACAATGTAGAAAATGTTGTTACTTGCATGTCTAATCCCCCCCACCGATTTTTATTTTCCTAAATCTATGGTGCAAATTCCTCCCATAGTAATGAGCTTGATTAAAAAGAACACTACACAACGTTGTTTCCCCTCTGCAGAAGCATGAGTTAAGCCACTCATTTTGTTTGATTGTCATCTGGCTTGTTAAGGGTAACAGGTCAGGGAAAATGTATTCAAAACATATCATCTGAATATTGCTGATCCCCACCAGGGACAACCCTTCAGAAACCATGCAGATAAAGAGATAAATACAAAAGAATAATCATTAATAGGCACTTTGTGAAGACCACAGCTTTAATATTCTCACCTCTCATCTGAGGCTGGAAGCAACAGAGATACGTTCAGCCTGAGACTGCAGTCCAAAACAAGGCATACTTTCCTATGAATCATGAACTCTGGTTCTGTTTTATCCATAGAACAAATGTGTTCTTGCTGTGTCTCTTTCTCTCCTCCTCTCTCGTTCTCTGTAATGATTACTTCAATGTAAACACAATTAGTAACGCATATACTGTAGCATAGTAATGATAAACTCTTTAAATAATTATTTTGGATAAGGCTAACATCTAGCTGGGAAGATAGTAATAACAAAAAGGCCAAAGATCACACTATGGATCAGGGGAACTGCTAAGTATTGGGGCTTGGCATAGAAAACTAATATACTCACAAATAAGACATATGTACTCATAACACACCTTCAGTTACAGTTTGCACAGCAGCACAATCCACAAGCCCAGCTGACATAATGTTTTTTCCAATGTGGTTCAGTTGAATGCCCAAAGGAACTGATTTTTTAAATTTCCTTTTTTTTTTTTTTTTTTTTTTTTTCTTAAATGACATGATATGTTGCAGCAAGTGCTGTATGATACTGCCAGTTCCAGGAAATTTTTGATATCATAATTAAAAAATAATAGTAGTGCTAGAAGGCTGTGTTATAACGAGACTGCTTGGTTAGATGGAGAAGTGGATAATGGGATGATACAGTAATGAGAACATTACAAGTCAAATACAAAGCCTTCTTTTCAGAGCACAAGGAATGATTGCCAAGTATTTTGTCATCAGTGTTGCAGATTACCAATTGATTTGATTGTGTCAAAGATGTGATGCATTTTTTTCTTAAAACACAAGTGCATTAAAGCCGAATGAAGTGCAATACTAAACAGCGTCAAGACTCAGAACATTTAGGCTAGGTAGAAAATAAACAGTGATATGATACTCACCTAGTAGGTCAAGAATGAGTCAAAAGGAATCCAAACTGTCCACAATATGCAAGAGCTCCGGGCTGTAATGATTCTCATGGTGAGCGCTTCATGAAAGAAAGAGGAAATGAAACAGGTTTTTGTGCAATAAGAGCTACAAAACATACAGAACTTCAGCCAGTTGCTTTGTAGCTGATGCTGTAGTAATAATGACAAACTGAGCTCAGACATTCAGACAAAAGTGACAATCGAATGACACAGCTTGAGAAGGGGACAAGCATTCAAATCCCTGGCTGTTTAACCTGGCATTAAGGCATGGCTAGATGGCTCTCTAGTATATTGTAGTCACAATGTAGCTTTGGGTAGTTCCTTGCTTTGAAGAATTGCATAGAAATAATCTTAAACAGCCTATAGTAGAGGTTGCTAAATCAATACAACTCATCACATTTATCTTTTGAATTCACTTCTCCACGTAGTGGGATGTGCCATTTCTGGCCATTTCATTCTTCTCAAGTTTACTTTCTTCATGTAACATTAGTTTGTGTATAGCAGTTATGATGAATGGGCACATTTTAGAAAGAAAATATTAAAGTTTAATAATGATTGAACATCCTTAAGTTTAATTATTTAAGTAATATGGAGAGATGCAAACTAGTACTTTGTTATGAGACTGCATAAAGCAGTTACTGCTTTGTATAATCTGTAAGTACCTGTTTAAAAATGCTTCTAAAATGCTTATGTAATGTATACACATTTTTCTTGCACGTTTCAACAGAATACACAATGGCATAACAAATGTTCAACAGAATTTCCTTTAATAAGATTTTATTTAATATTACACAAAAAAAAATTAGGTAGCTTGGTTCAATATATCGTTAAACCCTTTGTCTACAAGGCTAATGATACAGGTCATAGATACAGGTCATAGAAGACCTTCAGATTAAATGGATCAGCAGTCACTCACTGATTTTTGCACCACATAAAACAGTCATTAAATACTTTACTTGTGTGCATCTCCTTAGAACTAAAATGAGTGTGAAAGAATTTTTTTTAAAGTCCCATCTACTGTAAGTATTCACAACAATTCTAGTAGAACTAGCCACTATTAACATGCTGATTACTCTTCTGACCTGGCATGACACACAAATATATTTTGTCTTCGTATTTTTCTTTTTATTTTAAATAGGTTAAACCTGGTGCCACTCCATAAATAGAGTGCTTTTGTATAAAAATAAACAAACTATAAAAAATAATTAGGGTGAATGCAAAATATGCAACTGTGCCTTTTATACCTGTTATTATGGTAAAGTGGTAGTTGGGTTTGGACACTGAGGAATAAGGGGCTATTCCCAACCTTTTTGAACCTGTATATTTACCTGTGTTTATTTTCTGAGAAATTATAAATAATATATTAAAAATAAGCCTTTTGCCAAACTCAGTTAATGGACCAGTCTTAAGCATTATTAACACAAGGCTGTGGTTTAAGTATGTCTTGAGATTTATTTTTTTTTTTTTCTTTTTTAACTTAATATTTGTGTGAGGTTTGGGATTGTCTTCATTTGTTTTTTTGATTCTGCTGCCTGGAGAACAATGATCAGTCTCTATTATAGTTGTTTAGCAAGGTGTCAGCAGTTCATGTTGCCAGTAAAATTGACAAGTAATTTCTTTTTAATTGCTTTTAGCTGCCATCACATTTCAGCTGTACAGTATAGGAATCATCCTTTTATTTCTTTCCATGGGAAACTCAAATGAGCTTTGCATGTATTTTACATTAGGGCACCTTTATAGATTGATGCGTTAGTATATAACTTTATATGTATTAGAAAATTCAATAGCTTTGGTCTAAAATCTAATGCTCATTTTGGATCTCAGATCCACTATGTTTATTCAATATGGTTTCTGACTGGCCTGCTGCCTGAGTTTCAGGAAAAATAATAATAATAAAAAAAAGTGTTAAACATTATTTTTATGTGGGGGAAGAACTTAAATGGGGTTGAAATGATTGACTGAAAGGCTACCCTAGGAAGTTGTCAACTAGGAAAATAAGAAGTATGGCTGAAGACTTGCCATAAGTACAGCCACCACCAAACACTTCTAAGGACTTGAAAAATTAAGTATTTTTCCTTTTCTTTCATTGGTGATAAATATACAGTGTTTCCTCAAGGAACGAATCAAATGAAATAGCAATAGAGATGAAAGCCCATCAGTTAAGCTGTATTACTGACTGAAGAGCATACACAGAAGATAGAAGACAATAGTTACCAGCTACCTGGGGTACGCTTTCAGACAACTTTTTCCTAAATTTTAAGCACTTGCATTCAATGTGGTACGATCTGTTTGTAATATTAATCATTGACTATTGTTCTGCAACTTGGATGTTGATAGTGAAGCAGAGAACAATTTATCATTGTTTATTATGAGTCACTATGCACGCAACTATGCTAAACATGGCAAAATGTATTAAACGCTAGTCCACCTCTATTTATGAAATATTTACATAATTTAATTTGCTTTTGTACAGTTTTATGTAAATAAATTGCTTGTCATTTTTGTCTCTGCAAATTAAAATATAACATGTTCAACTGGTTACCCATTTGCCATTGTACTTTCTCTGACAGGCCACTCCACTTTGACTGGATTAAAGCACATGATAGTTTGCATATTTAACCTATATTTTGCATGGCAAAGATGAAGCTGCCTTCGTAAGTGGCCATTTCTTTAGCTGCTGATGTAGCTGAGGTTTTACTTGTCTACAGAATGAAATTCAGTAGGGATTATTCACACTCAGGACTGCATACAGCTATTTTCACAGTCGAAATAAAGTACTTGTAATGACTGAAGTTGCTTCCCATTACTGTTCAAAATGGCTTCTTCTTGAGGTATGGTTAAAGCATTCATCTTACTGGAAATAACAAGATTTGAGTAAAAGCTCAGCTATTTCCATTATGGAATGACAATTTTGTAGTTACCTACACGGTTGTTTTTTTTTTTCCCCCAAGAAGTTTAGAACTATTAATTTCTGAAGTGTCAGTGAAGCAACTATGTTGAAAAGAACAAAGCAATTAACGCAGTGTTTCAGAGCAAAAATGAAATGAAAATCTTTCTAGGCATAAATCAAATCATCCATCTCAGCATAACAACAGATTGAGAACTAACTATCCTCAAGAAGGAACATCTGAGAAGCAGAGTTTATCCCTTTGCTGCCTGCATCACAGTCTTTTTGTTTGTTTGCTTGCTTGCTTTAAAATAAAGCAGGTACCAAAGCAGCCATTTAGTTGAGATTTGCATCAGTTGTAATATGTGAAAAATATGCTTAGGGAAGAGAAAGGAAAGGTTAAAACATTTGTTTCCCTTGCCTCCCATTTGTGCTGTTTTATACTAAATACAGTACTGCTACAGAGACTTTGCAAGTTATTGTACAGAATTCCCCACTGAACAACAAAAAATGCTTTTTCCAGGTTTTTACATTAGTTACAGATTAGGCTTTGATTTGTTGTGAATAAATACAGGCTGGCCAAAACTTTTTTTTTCCTCCTTTTTCTTTTAAATAAACTTTACATTGCAAATTTATTTCTCTGACTGTGCTTTCAGTTAACATTGTCTGGTCTTCTCTAATGAATGTGTCAAGAAAGATTCTTCCTCCCATAAGCAGAGGTCTAAATCTGCATGCTTGTGGAGAAAATTCAATCCACCAGCTGACCCCAAATCTCCCACATCACACTTGAATGAGCTACCCCTAACCTCTTTCAGCAGTAGCAGTATTTTAATGAGTAACTTCAATCAAGCTTTCATGTTTATTTTATATTAGATGTAGTATACAAGGCATGACCTTATGTTTATTTATTTTGTCTTTTATCTTCATTCTTCTTGTTTACCAACTGCATCCAAGAATGTGATTACAGGAAGATAAAATAAATTTCCTGAGCCACAGAGAGTGGTAAGAGAGCATAATATAAACTGGTGAAAGCTAACAATTTATGCTCCCCTTTAACCCTGACTTCATTTCTCCCTCCTGCACTGCAGTAAAATGTAAATCTTATGCAGGGGCTGAAATTAATAAACGTGACCTAGGCAGAAATAATTTCATGTCTTTATTGAGCCTCCTGAGGGGAGTGTATATAAGATGGTTAATAGTTCATAAATGTGCAAATCGTCTAGCCTATGCCAAAGGAGAAAGCAACACCAGAGTTAGACAGATGAGAATATTTAGTATATCTCTTAGTAAAATGATAGGATTCCAGTCAGTTCATACAAGTATTTCTTCTGAAGAAAGTATGCCTTCTTCAAAAACTTAAATAGACTTACCAAGAAACCATATATAAAAAATATAGAAGAAAAAATAATAATAATATTATAACAATAAGAGGGGAGAGGGAGAGGGGAGAGAGAGAGAGAAAGGAAAGAAAATAACATTTAAGATACCTATTCCGTAGTGGCGTCAGGTAGCCTCTGGGAGAAGAAGGAAGAAGGAACAGCAAATAAGTATAGTGTAATTGGCACAGAAATCTTAGAAATAAGTCCCTTTAGACTTCCAAACTGATTTAAAGATCCTAAAATAGGGAGATATTAATGCATAATTTGTAGCTATCTACAGTACGGTACTGTAATTTCCAAGAAAGTATTCTTGCTAATTATAAGGCATGTGATTCTATTTAAGGTAGTGTTTTAAAAGATTTAATTAATGGTTAAAAATATTTATATCTTCTTATTCTTTCTCTGCAAGCTTATTAAAGCAGAATTCAGTCTTCTAAAGCATTCTCTGTTTGGAAAGGCCAAGATATATTTTTCATAAAATGTTATTCCAACACACCTTCTATTTTCAGCAATGTGACTAACTTCTTCAAATTTACACTGTAATCATGACCCTTAAATATATATACACATATAGATCTCTGAACTATCACTGCTTTCCAAAATATAGCAGCAGGAATAAAGTAACATAAGAACAGGGTCAGTACACCACTTTGCATCTTTATCCTCCCTTTGGTACTTCTTACAACCTTATACTTGTCAATTCATGGAGTGTGCCATGGGGAAAGCAACTTAAATAGGAATGAATCACACACTTCTTTTTTTTCCTAACCCTGTAAAGAATTACAGAAGGAAAGAAAAACAAGAGCAAGAGGGGGGGAGGGAGGGGGGAAATAAATAAATCTCTTTTTTATTGCCTACCTCTCATGGATTTCCAGCACCTACAGAAAATTCCATGAATGGAATCTCTAGTACTGGAGACTTCCCCATATAAGCATCCAACTCCATTTCTTCCAAAAGAACTTGCAGGTTGTGTAAGTTGCACTAAGTCTAGTTGGGGTAAACCATCTTCTTGCAGCCTTTTTATCTTACATGGTAATTATATGATCCCAGAAAACAAAATTAATTCCAGTTGATCCACGATTATGGTGGAACTAGTCTGATCTTTGTCTTATATTTAATAAGACAAGTAGAAGCAAAAAGGTCAGAATTTAAGATGAAAGGTTTAAAGATATCCACAAACTTATTCACACGCTGCAATATTTTATTATTTAAGTCTGAACAAAATAGATGAGGCTGAAAATTTAATAACTATAGCAAAGTATGATAAAAAAAAATTAGAGTGATGGAGACCTAGCTCAAGCTAAGTATGTTAGTCCATGTATGTTTATATAACCCTCTTACCTCTGGCTTTTGAAGCAGAGTTTAAGATACTCTTGAAGATTCCAGAAAAGTGATAAAATTTATCATTATCCAGTGTCAGAGAAACAATAAGATCTCCAGAATAAGGAGATATATAACAGATACAAATCTATTCTAAGGTTTAGTAAGAAACAAACAAACAAACAAACAAATATATAAACTAATGCCTATCTTAACATAGCAGGGTGTGGTGATCTTACATAGGATAACTACCAAAGCTTAGTTTTTCTTTAGTTTCCTATTTGGTATAAATTGCTAGAACAAAAGGCATTTTTTGTCTGTTTTGTTTTTGAATATTAGTTCATCTCCTTTTTCTCATGCAGTCTTCTTGGCACCTACTTAGCTTTTCCCAACCTTGTTCTGAACTAGAACAATAGATAATTTCATATGATTTTCCAGGCTGACCTCTGAACCTCTGCCAGGCGTCCTGTTGCCATCCTCATCTTTTAGATAAGACCATGAAATCATGGTAGACTGTCTCACACACAATTCTAAATATGAGTTTGAATATTAAAAGAGTCCTTACAGGTGTTAGAACAAGAAATATGCCTTGAATTTAGAATATTCTGGCGCAATGCTGATTAAGAATAAATAAATAAATAAATAAATTCTGAATTCCAGGGTGGACTGAAAAGCTGCTGTGTGTGATAAAGAACAAACCACATGCTGGGTACAACCCTATAACAACAAGCAGTGCATTTCTTCTTGCTCTAATCTGTACTTTACTCAGAGATAAAAGCGAAATGTACAAGTGCCCCAGGTCTCTCTGACGTACAGTTACCCATATTTCATAAATACAAAAAAGAAGGAATCATCTTTTGCCCACTCCTGGTAACTTAAGCCTGTTTCTAATCACTTTGGATGTCCCTATTGAATATTCTGATTGTTGCATATTCCGATTGCTTGTGTTATCATCACTACAGTGATGATTACTAATTAATGATGCAGCTAGTATGACATGCTGATTTAGGACAGCATAGAATTGACCAAGGGAAATGATGATGTTGGAAAGTACCACCTAAAGAACAAGACATTCAAACTGTAATTCCCATGAAATGCTATAATGTATTTAGTTGATACATTATTACATATTAACATCAAAGCTAAATAACCACTTTTCATTTCCAAAAGAAAACTCAGCTAGTCAAAACAAGCTTTCAGAAAAAATAAAGATGACAGCTCGGCTAGCCATGGACTGAGAAGGTCACATCTAAGTGCTGCAGAATAATTTTGTTGTATTGAGTGACTGCAGATGAAACAAATTTATTAACACTCAGAAATAATACATCTTGTCTTTCCTTACTTGGTGATGGAATCTGAAGCTTCCAAAAGTTTATTGCTGACCAACACTCAGAAACAAACTAACAACCAAACAAAAGCACCACCAACAAAAGCAATATGAATGCTTATAATTAACGAAAGATCAAAAAACAACAGAATCTGTTGCTTAGATCAAGATGCAGGTGCCTATGAATATTTCTCACAGTTTTTACCTCCACTCCTCTCTCTAAAAATAAAATAATAATAATAATTATATATATATATATAAATGCTAAAAGACTTGTAGGGTCATCAAAGGTATGGAATAAATATAAATCAAAATTATAAATAAATAGCTCTCTTCAGCCTGAAGAAGAGAACCAGGAGGTTTGACAACAGTCTAGATGAAGTCATGAATAAAGACAAGTGAGGAAAACTCTTAGTTTCCCTTAATATGGGCTATGAAGCACCATATAAAATTATCAAACAATAAGTTCAAGATATATAGAATATGGTGCATTTTCATACAGTGCATTAAATTGTTCAACTTCTTGTAAGAGGAGACTAACCTTTGGAATGCATTCCCATGAGTGTAAAAGATGTCTGGCCCTACAAAGAAAAGAAAAAAGGTTTCTAGATTAATGCTTTTAGTGAAT